GCTTGGCGATGAACCCGAAAGAGCTTCTCTTCGAGGCATTTAAGTGGAAAAGAGGGCTCGAGAAACTTGCAAGCGGCGTTGCCAGGGTCACATTACTACGAAGCCTGTAGCGCTGGCCTTCTGGTCGTGAGGGCTCGGGTTCGATTCTCGATCAAGTGGCTTGAGTTCCATGGTCTCAGGCAAAGCATAGAGTACGGACATGCCGGTATTTTGCAGTTAGGTCATGGAGCTTTTAGGGACCAAAAGGGCAGCCAATCTATGAACTTTAATTATCCAGAGTGATTTATTATTACAATTTTCACTACCCGATGTTTGTAAAACGCTCGTTTGACTCAGTTTTTGTAGAGATGTATTTATTTTTCAAAAGGACGCTCACTTATGAATATTCTTGGCCATTTTTCTTTGATAATGGAATCTGAAGATCGGCGGCGGTATTTTTTAGGTGTTTTCCGTGTTAAGCCCGTGTCCCACCATCAAATGACCTCATCAAATGCAAGATGGCGGCGTTCATCAATCATCAACATTTGACGGCCCGCATACTTTTGACAGCGGTTTTGCGCAAAAACCAGTGCGCATCTCCGCCATTTTGTACTTGATGAGTTCATTTGATAGTGGGACACGGGCTTTGGAAGGTTGGTCACCTTTTTAGGCTCTGAGAGCTCCAGATTTTGACATGTCCATGCTCCTCCATGTACGTGCTCTAGGGCAAAGTTCACCCGGGAGATTAGGCTCAAGATTATCCCTCAGGCAGGGCTATTCGAAAATTGGTCATAAGGTTCTCTACCTTTGGATTTGTCACTTGTATGAATATTTCGTCTTTCGTCTATACAGTCAACGGCATGACTCCTGATCAAGTTAAAATCTCCCGACGTCTACTTGTATAAAGCTTTAAGAGATCTTATTTGTTGGGTGAGAAAGAGCTCATTGTGAGTGGCATTAGAGAATGTGGACTAGGGAGGCAACTGGAAACGGCGAGATCTGGCACTGGCGCATGCCGGCCGGCATGGCGTGAAGACTTGGGTCTTGTAGAAAGTTGCCGACAATGCGGCGCTCGTTCAACGTAACGGCGTAATATCATTTCCACGTGAACCCTGTCTTCCACATAACTCTATACTATCCGAGGCTCATGTGGAAATAGAGGAACGTCCTTAGGCGAGAGTGACGAGGAATGGACGTGGCGGCGGTTGCAGCGTGGTGCGTGGTGCGACGGTGCGTGTTGCGGCGGCGTCGTGGACGGGGGCCCGAACCGGCCACGCCGCGCCGCCGCGCCGCGCGCCGCCGAGTGTCCAGATTTCTTTCTCAAAGATCAATGACCGAATTTCAATGCTCCAAAGCTTGTGCTTGTACTTATCAGCCACTAATTATTCTCGTTTTCATTACGCCGCCCTCCCCCTCCCTCTCCCTTGGGCCGGCTCCTCTTGAGACCGTGTTGCCGATCCCGCCCGGCCCCGGCCCCGGCTCCACAAAGAGTCTGGATCCTCATTATTTTTATGATTACCTCGCTAATGCTCCCTCAGGAGTGGATAATGTCCTCATTTCCGCTATCCGAGTGTAGGCGACGCTAAACTTTTCCACGGCTCAGTCTTCGAGATATCATTCATTTTTCGGGGCGCTCACGCTCACAGACTTGATACCGCAGATTTTCCGTTTTTCCAATGTCCCTTTGAATCCGTAACGCAAACGTGCGAGTTGAGTATCTCTAGTTGTAGGTGGCTAAACTACTCCGCGGCTGAAGTCGGCATCTGAATAATGCGCGGAGCAGAAAATGATGGAAGAATAGTCGCAGTTGGGTTCTGACCCAACATGCAACTATTTTAACTCCGAGGAGGGCGGGGTTGCATACGCTCGATTTTGCGGGCGAAATCTGAGATTTGCCCACGACTTAAGCTATTCATTTTTCGGGGTGCTCACGCTCACGTGCTTGGTATTGTAGATTTTCAATTTTTCCGAAAGACCCTTACGCAAACTTGAATCCGTAACGCAAACTTGCGAGTTGAGTATCTCTAGTTGTAGGTGACGCCAAACTATTCTACGGCTGAGTCTCTGAGATATGATTCACTTTTCATGGCGCTTACGTTCACACACTTGGTAACGCAGATTTTTAGTTTTTCCGAAAGATCCTTTGAATCCGTGACGCTAAACTCTGATCTGAGTATCTCTAGGTGTAGGTGACATTTAACTATTCCACAGCTGAATCTTGGAGATATGACTCATTTTTCACGGCGCTCATACGTATTTTGTAACGCACTTTTTTAGTTTCCTGGATCACCCATCTTCTCCTAAACCCAAAACCTGTGAGAATTTCATAAGTAAAGCGATAGAAAACAAAGACAGGGGAAACATGGAGCGATTCTATTTGTTGAAACGGGCGGGTTGTTATAGACTAATGAGGAAAATAATAAACTTACTAGCTGCTTCAGCTCGCTACGCTCGCTTGCGCCGGTAGCCGGGGGCAAGCCCCCTGGACCCCCAGTTACTCGCTCCGCGAGTAACTGTTGGCTCGCGAAGCGAGCCAAATTTTGCTACTACCAGTGCTTAGAGGACTTCCTGGAGGCAGAATGATAAATTCAAAAACAAAGAATAGGAAACTAAAAATTACCTACACTGAAAAAAATCGTTGGGATATATCAAACCAATAAGTTGTGTTGAGCTATGTTGTGTTGATTGAAGTATACGAGTTGCATTAAATTGACACTACGAAGTTGGGTCAGGAGGCTTTGTGTTGGCGCAACACAATATTGTGTCATTTCAACCCAATTTTTCTTGAGTCAACACGGCTACTGTTGGCATGAATGAACACAATTTTTTGTAATGAGAGAACACAACTGATTGTCTCGAATTGAGAAAACGATTTTCTCGTATCAAGAAATCTTCATTGTGATACAATAACACAATAAAGTTTCTCAAATTGAGAGCACAATTAATTTGAATCAAGAAATCGTAGCTTTAACTTGATACAATGCCGTGTAGATCTTGGAGCAAACGAGGTGCCTTATAGCCAAAAGTTACTTTGGAGCCGAATAAATTCTACATACCACCAATACTATTTTATTCAAATATTTTGACATATTTTATTTTCTTTATATTTATCTCAATCTACCTTATTTTATTTTGTTTCTTTATAATAGTTACCATATATTTATTCATTTTTTGTTTTCTTTCATTTTATTTATTTTTTATAAATTTATTTTTCTTAATTTTACTTCTTCCTTTGAAACTGCATAGAAATTTCCGAGAATATCATTGGTTTCAAACATGGAATTGGCGCTGAGGACGCTTATGAACGCTTAGTTACCCCACCATGTAAAGAGAGCTTCCGGAACTCCACTGCAGCGGCACTTGGGCGATCGCGGGGTTAAGTAACATCGGGCGTAGTTAGTACTTAGATGGGAGACCATTTGGGAACGATCGTGATGCGGATGATTGTATAGAGATTTAATATAGCTCACGTGACGATAGGATGCCTCGGCAC